CATGAAGATGCTATCAACAAAAGATCTTTCCAGGGAGCTTCCTGCCTGAATTGAAACAAGAGCATTTAGAAAGTGGGCATTCTGCAGCTGGCATTCATAGCCCCATGGCAAATCAAGAGTGGAGTGGGAGTTTTTATCTTTCGACCTGGCCACTGTCTTAATAAGTCACCCTTCACTTGCCGGGCCTCTGATTCTCAGAGCTGTGGCCTACTGCCTGTCTCAGTGGGGTTAGAGTTTCTCATGTCCTCCGAGGCCCTTCCTCACTCCTCAAGCTGTTGCTGGGCTGAAGAATGGTGACCTGGGATAAGGTTCTGTCTTGCTCCTAAAGCTACCCTGGTTCTGCCCTGGATGGGGAGAGCTAATGAGATTATGAGCCCACCTGGTCTGAATCTGGATGATCAGGGCAGTGAGGCAGCCTTGGAGCCAACAAGCCGAATAGAGGGGAAGCATAGCTGGGCATAGCAGTGAAGACCCTCATACACAGAGGTATCAGGGCGCATGTTGGAAGGACTTGGACATCACCCTGGCACCCTGGTCCCACAGAGCCTGGAGATGGGGTGTATGTGGGAGTGCTGGAGAATGCTATTGCCCCAGCCCAGCTGTCCTCCCTGCCCAGGTCACAGCTCAGCCCAGCTCAGTACAAGCTCCAGGCCTCTTGTACCATCAAGAACAAAGCGAATGGCCTGCTACCTTAAAAACTGGACCCTTTAAGTGGCAGGCAAGCAAAAGTCCTTTTCTCACCTATCAAAGTCAGGGGAGCCAACAGAGCTACAACTGCCCTCTTGTTTTCTGGCCCTTGTTTGCCGACCCTGCAGGAAACAGCCCAGAGCTTATGGGCCACCAGCACAATTGAGCCTTATTCCTCAGCTAACATCGATTATTACTGACACAAACTGCACCAAATGATAGATTGTGAAATGCACACAGCCTGATGGAAAAGGCCTGCTTACTGCACAACCCTGGAGAACAGCAATCGCTCCTACACTTGTGCGAGTCTTTACAGGACACGTCACATTCCGGCCTTTCTCAGTTCATAGTACAAATTACTAAGAGGGGGGGAAAAATGTACCTCCTGCTACGTAAAACACAAAATGCCTCATTATCTTAAAGCTTTTCACAGAAGTTAATCTCCAAATGTACCATTAATTACGCTATTCAAGAGTTTTTCCTTAAATTCTCCTTCTAACCAAACGTGAACACTTTACAGAAGAATAACCCTTATGCCAAAAAAGTGCAAGTCAACGTGCAAATGCAAAAAGAATGAGCAAACGCTTCTGTATTTTAGCTGGAGCTAGTTTTTCTTAAGTTGGATATAAGGATCTCAAAGCAACTATAATGCAAGCAGGGAAATAGATACTTATCATCACTCTCTGCTGGCTGGAATAAGAACCCACCCACAGCTAAGCCTCCAGCAAGTTTTCAGAAACTGTACATTGCATGGGTATCTGTCTTTCTCCCAAGTAGCAGCTGGTGGGTGCAAACCACTTGCCTTTGGATTGGTAGCTCAACACTTTACTCACTAGGCCATCAGAGCTCCCTGCACGCATTTTAAAAATCTGAATAATGTACAGAACTGACTTTTCATTCTAACATAGCCTCTGAACCATTACTGTATCTGAATCATTATGTAACCAACTCATACAGAAGCAGCAACTGCTATCTCCATACATGTATAATCATAGACACCATCTTTCAAACTACACGTCCAAACGCCTCATTTACACACTTGGGACGAGAGGGCTACCAAGTTGTTGAGAAAGTCCCTCTGTGAGTGTGTACACATTAACAACAGGCGCTGTCAAGTCTTCACAGCGTCCTGCTCACCTGTGGGCCTTCTCTATCCTCAGGCAATGTGGCCTGACAAAGACAATCCAAGAGCACTCAGTCTTCATGCCTAGGCCCCAAAAGGGTTCCCCATCTACTCACTCACACCCTGAGCCTTTAAGGCAGGCTTTGGGAGCCAGACTGATGCTGTCCCCTCGCAGCGGTGTCTAGACGCACACTCACTCCGGATTGCATGCTAAGGACAGACTCGAAGGCCAGCGCTGGAGGCTGCGGTGCTGTCCCAGGGCCCTCCAAGCCAAGGCCGATGCTGGAAGGGACCAGGAAAGTCACAGACACGAAGCGCCCCAACACACAGCCAGGGCTCCCTTGCCTCCACTATGCCCAACGACTGCCCTCTCCAGCCTTTCGGTATCATCAGTGAGCTCCCTAAAGTGACCTCGCAAGCCAGGCAGGGATGCTGTCACCGCACGGAAAGCCCAGGGCCGCCTCTGGAGACCTCTGGGCCCTGCTGTCCCTGATGCCCTAGCACCCGGTGGAGACGCAGAACGCGCGAGGGCTAGATGCCACAGCGCAGCTGAGGGCGCAGCTGAGCTGGGAAGGCCCCGGAGCGCTGTCGCTTGTGAGCAAGAGCCCTGATCTGCCCACCCTGGCAGTTCTCCGGCACACGCGCATGTCCCCCCACAAGGGCGACGAGTGATGAGTTAATAATCGCAGGCTGGGCCTGGAACAAAAGGAACTTCGGGTACTAGAAAGCGGAAAGGCACCAGCCCACCAGGTGCCCCTTGGCCTGAGGAGGGAAAGCAGGCTTTTCTGGGCCTAGTGCTGGCCCGGCTGCGCGCCCTGGTACTCCCCGCCAGCCTCAGAGCACATTTCCCTGCCACCGCGTCTTCACCAGTGACTGAGCCTCCCAAACCCCCAAGGTTCTCCTGTGCCTGGTGTTTCTCCAACAAGGTATTTTCGGGCAGCCAGAGACAACAACGGGGCTCGGACGAGGAGGGGTTTGGGGCTGGGGCGTGGGCGCGGGAGGATGGAGAGCGCAAACACAAACAGAAGCCGGACACCAGGCCGCGACGGTAATTAAAGCTAATTAACAGAGAGCTCTGCCGTCCGGGCGCGGCGTCCCCGTCCCGGGCGGCATCCGGCTGCGCGCCGCGGGGAGGAAGGCCCGCCGCGGAGCAGAATTGGCCCCTCAGCGAGCCGAGGGTCACTCGGTCCCGCGCCCGCACCAGGCCTGGGGTCAGCCGCGATGTCCAAGGGGCACATCCTTCTCCGGCGCCCAGGCCATACGGTCACATCCCGCCTCCACAGCAGGCTCCCCCGAGCGCAAGAGGCACGAGCCCCGAGGCGCGCGGGCCGCTCCCATCCCCGCCGGGAGGCGCCGGGCTGAGGCTCCTCGCCCCGCGTCCCCGCGGGCGCCGCAGGGATTGGATTACAGCTCTGCGGGAGAAGACCGGACGAATCAGAAGCCACGGAAAGCCGGTTTTGACTGAAATTAGAGTGTATTTATTTGCAGCAATCTTTTAACAATAATCAAAATTTGACAACAAGCAACAGCAATTACTGCTAAGTGTTGCGTCTAGATAGGAGCGGCAGATAGCAGGAAACTGTATTATCTCGAAAACAAACTGAAAGGCCTGCAAGTGTCTGTAATCAAATCGCCATCTCCCCAAAGTCTGACTGACAGGGCAGATTACCTTCCAGATAATGAATTTATTACATTTCCTGGGTTATTTACAAAGGGGAGGGCCAATTCTGATTGCCCCTTGGTTTAACTGTAAATTAACAAGAAAAATGGGTTTGAAAAGAAACCGCCTACACTACAAATGTCTGCCCTTTTCTCTGGCCTTTTTGTTATATTGCTTTAAGGCTTTAAAGAACAATTGTTCTACAAACACATCTTCTAAAATAGTTTACCAAAGATTAAATATCCCTTTCCAACCCACAGTATATTAAAAAATTAAAATAAGTCAATCCTTGTATGTAATACATGAAAGACTGTACATGCCGATGACTTATATACATTCACTTAAACACGGGTTAAAATTTCTTCTTAGAAAGGACTGAAATTAACACAAAGCGTTTCTTCTGCATCTGTTCACAGGGGAGAGTAAGGGACATGATTTTATAAGTGAGACCAAGGGCCGATCTCCCCATGTGGGGTCTGCAGGCCCACGGTGGACACTTTCTGTGTGCATACCCTCACTGTCCAGCCATTACTACCAACTCACAGTTTTGTTTCCAACTCAGGTTCTACCATTATTGAGAAAATTGTTTATATGTCAGCTCAGACCTATTTAGGGTCTTTTTACTAGTCACCAAAGCAAGCTAATTATACATTTTGCAGAAGATGCTGCAAGGGGGGCGGGGGGGGGGGGGAGAGCTAAACAAGAACATATGGTTATGTGAAATTTGACAGGGAAGCTCAGAGGATTTCTCCATAATCCAGAGTTAGGTGGAGAATAGACAATTTACTAGTGTTTTATCTTGGAAGTATTTTCTCTTATTAAGGCTCTATTAAAGTATCCAGACATATAAGTCTCATTCAAACTGAATGGCAATTTATTAATAAACAAATGAAATATGTTCAACATAGAGGGGGAAAAGGATGATAGAAATAAGATTAATACAGTTTCCCTTTTATAATGAAAAAAAGCACAATTTAAAGTTTCAGGCACTTTAACGTCAGGTTTCAGAAACACTTTCTGGCGTTTGGTCCACAACATCCAACTACAAATTAAAAATAAATTACTATGTTGCAATTTACATTTTCAAACAAGTCCATGGATAAAAAGAATGCGATTTTCATATACAGGGGCAATCCCCTCCTTTAAACATAGGGTAAAACAATATCTTACAGAAGCGACACCACGGAGAGGGGCAGGGGTCAGAGAGGGAAGAGGAGGGGAGCGGCACCTCTGAAACGCGAGAAGAAACTTACGTGTTATCTGGAGTAACACTGTCCTTTTACAGATCATGCTTTTGCGGTCTCTGTACACTACAGTTTACGTTTTTATTTAGACAAGGCACAGTGGAGGTGGCTCTGAATTAATCTCTTAACTGTGTTTGTCGCTGGTGTGCTGGATTCTGGAGAGATTCTGTCAGCTGGTGCAAAGAGTGTTTTTCAATCAGATATTTTTGGTTTCGGTTTTGCCTTGATGGGTCCTTTGGGCTGCTCCTGCTCTGGGGTTCGGTTCGGTTTAGAGGGGCTGCGGGTGTCAAAACTTGCTGCAGTCGTAGACGAAAGCCCCGGACGTGCGGTACAGGGACTGGCTGGAGGGGAAGGCCATCTGGCAGCTGCTGTTGCCATTGACCGGAGAGCTGTTCAAACCAATCCTCTGTGCCTCGAACATCTCCCGCACCGAGTGGAAGTTCTGCTGCTGTCCAGGATAGCCCGCTGCCGCCGCCGCCGCCGCTGCGCTCGCCAGGTGGCCTAGGTCCCCCGCGGCCTGATTCAGGTACCAAGAAGCTAGGCGACCTTGGTGCGCCGACGGGTGGTGGCCGGCCTCCGGGCCTCCCCCGCCCCCGCCGCCACCACCCCCGCCGTGGCTCAGCGTCGAGGAGCTGCTGCTGGTGGCCGGGGGCAGCGAGTAGTCAGGCAGGGCGTCGTCCACGGCCGCGCCGCCCGCGCCCCCGGGAGCGCCCTGCAGGTGGCTGCCGCGCTCGCCGGCCGCGTACAAGCTCATAGCCTGCATGTTGCAGTGGTAGGTCCCCGCGCCGCCCGCGCCGCCCGCGCCCCCTGCGCCACTGCCCGCGCCGGAGCTCTGACCGCAGGGTGCGCTGTACAGGGAGCTCTGGCCCGGCGAGTAGGCGCTCAGCGCCAGCGGGGGCGCCAGGCCCGGCCTGGAGGACGCCGCCGAGGCCAACAGGCCAGAACCCAGCTCCGCGGCCGCGCCCTGCGGCGACCCCCGCAGCGATGTCATGATGTTGTCCACGCTGAAGCCCTGGCTGTGCGGTGGCGCGGGCGGCGCGGGGGCCGGAGGCTGCGCCAGCTCGGCGCCGTCCAGGCTGAGCGGGCGTGCGGCAGGCAGGCCGCCGCGGGGGCTGCTCCCGCTCGACAGGCTGCTGCTGCTGCTGTCGGGGCTCTCGATCTTGGGCACGGCTGCAGCAGCAGCCGGGGACAGGGGCTGGGGAGGCGAGGAGCACGTACCGTTCTCGGTCTTAATGTCCTGGATGCGCACGGGCTGCGGCTGAGCGCCGGGCGGCCCCGCGACCCCGGGCGCGCCGCTGTCGGTGGGCTCGGGCGCGGGCGGCGCGGGCGGCTCCTTGAGGTGCAGCCGGTCCTTCTCCTCCTTGTCCTTCACCGCGTCTTTCTTCTTGAATCGCCGGCGCCGCCGCAGGAAACTGCCGTTCTCAAACATGTTGTACGAGTCCGGGTCGAGCGTCCAGTAGCTGCCCTTGCCAGGCTTCTTGTCGTCGCGTGGCACCTTTACGAAGCACTCGTTGAGCGAAAGGTTGTGGCGGATGCTGTTCTGCCAGCCCTGCTTGTTGTCCCGGTAGAAGGGGAAGCGGTCCATGATGAACTGGTAGATGCCGTTGAGCGTGATCTTCTTGTCGGGTGCATTCTGGATGGCCATGGTGATGAGCGCGATGTAGCTGTAGGGCGGCTTCACCATGTCCTTGGGCTGTGGCTGCGGCGTGTAGGGCCCGTAGGCGCGCGCCATGCCGCCCGGGTACTGCTCGGCGTGCGCCGCGGGGTGCGAGTACATGCTCATGGGCGCCGGCATGGCGGTGTAGCCGCCCCCAGCCGCCGCCGCCGCCGCGCGGTAGTAGCTCTGCTCGCCACCGAGATAGGGCACCACTCCCAGGGAGTTGGGACTGGACACGGAGTAGCGCGCCTGCATGGCCGCCGCCGCGGGCCCTGCCGCCCGCCGCCCTCGCCGGGCCCCGGGCCGCGTAGTCCGAGTCCCGGGCCCTGCGGGGCGCTGGATCCCGGGCCCGCCGCCTTGGACTGCTGGCGGCTGGCGTGGGCCTCGCGCTCCTCTGGCTCCCGGCTCCTCCGGGTCGCCTCTGAACACCTCGAGGCTCCGCGCTGACGGCGGAGAGTGCGCCGCAGACGTAGGGCCGGCTGGGGAGGAACTCGCCAAGTCACTTCCAGGCGGGAGCAGAGAGAAAAGCCAAAGCGCCCTTTTGGCACAAGCAGCGCCTCGTCTGTGTCTGCTGCGAGCGAGCGGCTGGTGAGGGTGGGGAGGGCGGGGCGGCCACCCTCCCTACGGCCGGAGGGCGCAGGCTCTCGCGCGGGCCGCTGCGGGCTGCATCTGGTACGCTCCTGAACTTTTAAGCATCCGTCACCCAGGGAGGACTTTTTTACGCAGTTACATTTTTTCCGGGCCGCGATGCCCCGCCCCCGCGGCGGCGGCAGCCAATGGGCGGCCAGGGCCGCGATGGCGGAGTCGGAGCCGAGAGGCTGGCGCCCGCGCCCTAGCCGCGCTGGCCGCCCCGCCCGCGCCCGCGCCCGCAGCACCTCGCCCGGCTCGGCGCTTACTTCCCGACCCCGCAGACACCCCCGGCCCTTCGTGGGCATGGTCCAGGCCAGCCCTCGGCCCAGCAGTGCAGCCACCCGCTCCAGTCCCGGCCTCAGCCTGGGCTGCTACACCGTGTCGCCGCCGGGGCCGGGGCCTCGAGCTCCCGGGTTTCTCCCACTTTTCTCTCTCTCTCCATCTCTTAGCCACCTCCTCATCGCTGCCTTCCTATATGGCCGAGTGGCTGCCGTCCCCACACTCGTGGGTTCGGCTTCCAGACCTCACTCACACCGGGCAGATTTTCAGGACGTAGCTCTGTGCCGAGAGGGGGAGATGTTGTCACCGTCACCTCCCCTCCTCAGTGGGAGTAAGACGAAGGGACTGGAGGTGGCAGGTGGGCCCTTCGCCCAGGTAGGCTGGCCGGCTTCTCCGCGGGCCCCGCGTGGTGCGGGCCGCAGTGGGGTCGTGCCTGTCTCCCCGACCACTGCCCCTTCTCAATCAGATCGGAGAGGGTGTCAGGCTGCGCCTCAGAAAGTCAGCAGGTGTGATGACAAGAAGTAACTAATTGAAAGAAACCTCTGCAGGCCGCTGTCCACCTCTACGAGCGGCCGTGCGCTCACAGAACAAGTGTCAAGGCATGTTCACAGGCACCTGCGGGCCGCTGGGGTTATGCGCACAACGCCCCGTTGGGATCTCTTCTTGAGTTAAAGAGGGCAAGAGCCTGAGAAGGGAAGCGGGCAGGTTCAGGGGAGGAGAGGCGCCCTCCCTCCCACGACGCGCGCTCCGCGTTGGGGGGGAGGGGGGGCTCAGGGCCTCGGCTGGAGCCGGGGAGGCAGGGGGTGTGGCGAGCTTTGGGAGAGTGTGAAAACGCGGGTGCCGTGTCCCAGGCCTTGGCTCCTGAAATTTCTGACAATCTTTAACTCCCGAGACGTGTTGGGAGCCCCTTTTGGCCTTCCAGCTGGAATTCGGGCTGCCTCACTTCTGTACTAAACGTGGAATTGCTGATAACTAAGGCCCTGCCTGGCGTGGCAGGCACCGCTGCGTGTCACTTGAACATTACAAAATAAGCACAATTCGGAAGGGATATTTATATGGAGGGAAGAGGCGACCCTGCTAAATCTATAGCATCGCCTGGGGCGGCGTGGTTCACCGGAAGTTCCCCTCCCAGGGCTGTGGCCTCTGGGCCCTGCCTGAGCACTTGTGACTCCTTTTTAGAGTGTTTCAAGCACGGGTCACAGAGGGATCGAGAGCGCCCTCAGATTTGTCAGCAGGAGGCTTAGCCCTGGCAAGTCCGAAGGACACTCGGGGAAGCGTGACGGAAAGTCCCACGATCTCAAAGCCGAGTTCTGTCCGGCTCCGGCCCCTCTCACCGGCCTGCCCAGCAGCTCCTCGGGCCGCGGCGGCTGCAGACGACGCTCCAGCTTCAGCCTGAGGGCACAAAGAAGCACATGGTCTCCCCACACCTCTTTACGGCCAGGGCCCCTCGCTGGTGGGGCGCACAGACGACTCAGCGATGGCCGCTCATTGGCATTCCTGGGCGCAGGGTGCGGTGGCGAATGCGGTTGCCTGGTTTCCCCTCCTCTGCCTCCCCTGGCGCTGTGTCCTGCAAATGGCGAATCTAAATCCTGGTTTCCTCGCTTCTCAGCTTTGGGCACCAGAAGTCGCCGTTGTGAAATTCTGTTCTGGCCTGCGGAGGGGGGCGTTTATAAAGATCAACTTTCCACTGGTTTTAGCGCTGGATGTTCGCCAGAAAAAGATATTTGTGTTTTATAAGCTAACTCGGAAGCAAATGGCCAGTAAACGGCTTGTCTATATCCCAGGCGCTTACTGTTGAGGGTGCTGGTGGGGCCTGAACTCTAGACACATGAGTAAAGTCTTAGGGGGACGGACAAAGGCTTTATTTTTAGGGTGAATTTTTGGTCGCCCCTGTTTGGTTGCCCCGCAGGCTAGGGCAATCTGCATTTCCCTCCACAGCCCTGGACTCTGAAGAAAGAAACACCCCAAATATCCCGGCAGGAAGCCTTGGACTTCTTTCCTGAAGCTCTGCAGACCGTGGGCCGCAGGCGACAGCGGTAATGAATGTTTGGAGGGGCAGTCGCTCTGAGCCCCCTCTCTCCCCGCCTCCTGCCCGGTCTCTGACCACACCAGGTCCGGGTGCCCAGTGGCCAACATGCTTCCAGTGGGGAGGGGGCGTCCATGTCAGCGCTTAGCACAGGCCTCTGCGCCCCCATCCCAGCGAATGCACAGGGGCTGGAAGCAGCACCCGGGAGTGTCGGTGCCGTTTGTTATTTCTCAAGTGAGGAGGCGGCAAAGGAGCCCTGGGGGCGTGGTAGGGTAGCCCTGGGGTCAGACTGAAAGGTAGGTAGTTCTAATCCACCAGCTACTCGGAGTGAAAAATGAGGCAGGATCCTCCATGAAGATGAACAGCCCCGGAAACCAAAGCGAGGTTTCCCCACGACTTTGGGTTTTGGTTTGAGTTGAGGAAATGAGGCAGTGGCCCCTGAGCTTCCCTTCCAGGCCAGAAAGTGGTTCCTGAGACATTTGAGGCAGGTTCACTTACCATGGGCGAGTGGCCTTCCATGTCAGGAACCCCGGGACCTTCCAGCGCGCCCCCCACCGTGTCCACGCCTTCCCCGCCCTAGAGCCGATTCAATTTTGCCCTGGAAATCAGACCCATAGGGATCAGGTACCTCTGCCCTCCCGCCTGGAGCTGCGGGGAAATCATAAAAGCAGCCAGGCAAAGACGCCGCAAGGGCTGCTTCCCGCTCAAGCGGCGCAGGCCCAGACCCCAGGTCAGGACGCACCCCAAGTCTGCAGCCGTCCTGCATTGCTTCCTTGGCTGCAGGAGACAGAGGGGACGATTTTAAGGCTAATCATCGGGTCAATGACATGCGCAGACTCCCCCAGTTAGCCTAAAATTCACAGCTGGAGGGAAACACCATTAACTGGGGGCGAGTGTCTTTAAAGTGTTTAGTTCGTTGTGTTGACCCTCCATCTGGCCTTCTTTGCGCAGGTTGTTTGCGCAGGGAAGGCAGCTTCGTGTCAGCGACCAGCATTCGTTGTGGACTAGATGGCCACACGAGGCGCCGGCCTTTCGTGGGACTCTAGCTTTCCTCATGGGTAGGGATGCGAGGAGCACAGCCCCTCCTTTGAGGAAAAGGCATTCCCAAAATACATGCATCGGTTTTTTTTTTGTTTGTTTGTTTGTTTTTTTGTTGTTTTTTTTTTTCAGTTAGCTTCTAGAGAAAAGGCGATCCGCATTGCACTGACAGGAGTCAGGGAATTCGGCTCTCCAACTACCTGAGGACAGCCTTCCAAGGGCAGTGTGAGTGAAGGAATAATTTCACCTCATCCCCAAGACGCGCTGGCTCTACTCGCTCTCATGCTCCACAAGCTGGGAAGCTGGGACCAGAACAGAGGTGAAGGCTGTAACCCTCGGAGCCCGCAACCCACCTGCAGTGCGTCCACAGTGAAGCCCCATGTCCAGCTAGAGGGGCAATGGGACCCGCAGGAAAGGGGTTTGCGTCTCACTTTGCTGTTGCACTTCCAAAGACGAAGCAGAGGGAGCTGGAGACCAGCACTGTACCTTTTATTTACACAGAGAAAGCACAAGAATAAGATTTGTAAAGGGTCAAAAGATGGAAAGGACAAGTGTTCGTGCGTGCGTGGGCGTGCACACGTGCCTTGGTTTCTCCAGATCCAAGCCTCCGGCTGCTGAAGGGCGGCAGTGCCCCCAGGGCTTTTAGGATTAGAAGCTACACTTCTCTTGTGTTTGAGCCCTCCCCGCGCTAGGCCGCCCTGGTCCCCGCCCAGAACCCCCGGGCGAGGGTGTAGGGGCAAGGATCTGGGTGAGGAGGGAATGGGTGTGAGAGCGCGCGCTAGCATGTCGGGCGCTCGGTGGAGGGTGCAGGAAGGGTTCTGGTTGCCAGTCACCCTCCGTGGAATCCGGGGCTCTCGGACCATGGCGTGCGGCGTGGGCTGCACTTCGAGGGAACCGGGTGGCTCGATCTCCTGAGGAACTCGGGGCGGCCTCAGCTTCTCCCGCCTCCTGGGCGCCCTTTGCGGAGCGAGCGCAGCTCGCTCGGATCCAGCTGCGAAGCCACCTCCGTGTCCATCCAGCTCTCTCACGCATCTGAGGCGGCCCAGGGTGCGGACACCCGGTCAGACCCGCACCCTGAACCTTGTGGGAAGCAACCTTGAGTACCCCCGTCAGATCTAGTAATTGCACTTTTCCGAGAAGGCGCAGTCGTTGACCCTAAAGAACCTGCTTCTTACGTGTGCGCGCTGCTGAGTCCACCGTCTCCGTCTTTCTGATGCTCGGAGCGGGGGCGAGGAGGCCCTGCGGACCCGAGCCAGTAGCATCTGACGACACCTCACCGCAG